GCTATTACCATGTTATTATCTTAATTTAGACCGTTTTAAGGATTGATTCCAATCAGACTAAAGAGTTTGTTTTGGAATTTAAAATACCAAAAATGATATAAAAATATTTTTTTATTATTTTTTTTTGCCTTTTAATTATTTATTTTTTTTATTTATTAAAAATTTATTATATTAAATATATTTATTTATTTAATAATATATAAAATTAAATAAAAAACCTGTCCTTGTATGGCTACCCTTAAAACAATTACTAGAATACGTTGATAGCTGCATACATGAAATTTGTTGCGTTAACTAAAATGGTCCTCCGTTGTGGGGGTGGAACTAGGATGATTGATAATAAAAAGGTTTCCCTCATTTTTCTTCCTTGCAACTTAGAGTAACTTTTCTCTAACTTTTTTTTTTTTTTATGTGAAGTTTCTATCAAATATTGAAAAATTAACAATTCTATTAAAATTTTATTAAAATAATTATTTTTATTAAAAAATGACTGGTCATTAAGATAACAATTTCTCTTTATCTCTCCAGGCCTGTGGAAATCCCCGCCATGGGAATGAGGCAGACATGGGGAGAACTCCGCTCTATGAAATTTCTCATAATATCTCGTTCCCTCTGAATTTTAAAATAATAACAACAATAAATTATTAAATTTAACATAATTTAAATATTTAATTTATGGTCATATATTGTACTTATTCTTACTTTTACTCTAGTGTTAAAGTTCAAGTACTTTAAAACAAACCAAAACAAACCAAACGAAACACTGTTTTTAACTTTACTCCAAACATTTTGTTTTAAAATAATAAAATAAAAATGATTAAATTAATTTTATAATATAAATTAATGTGTAATGCTAAATTCCCATGATAAGGGTAGACTTTGCTCCTTGCAATGTTGTTGAAAGCGATCATGAAATAATTGTGCGATCATCTCTTCAAAATACTTAAAACGCTCAACTTAAAAGGAATAATTTCAAAGTAACTGAAGTGATAAAAGCGTTTTAATGCTTGTGTGCATGCTTCTTTAAAAATGCAAAATATATATATATATATATATATTCCCTTAAGAATCAAAGAATTTGTAGGCAACATTGAAGGTTTTAAAATTAGAATTGTGACTCCAATTAGGGAAACATAGGCAAGGTCTACATCTTTTCCTGATTTCATCTTGCTGCCATTTATGGGTAAACTTTTTCTTCTTTTTTCTTTTTTGATGGGCGTAAGCTCTTTCTTCTTCCCCTTCTTTTTTCTCCATCTTACCATCTTTTGTTCTTCTTCTTCTGTTCCCCACTAGAATCATTGTGTTCAAATATAGATGACTTGCATACTGAATGCCTCCAAATTTGGACCAGACATCGAAATGTGATGTTTTTCTTGCTGCTCTTTTTATTTGGACTTAGGGAAGAAACAGAGAAATGTTAAGAGTACTAGAAATTTTATTCAACTCTTTTCTGTTCTTCTTTTTTTTTTTTTGTGTAAGATCTTTTGCTTTGATACTAACGAATGCATGACAAGTTAGGGAATATAGTGGGCTTGGGAATTTAGAGGCTATTCACTATAAATTTAGGCTATGAACAATATGCATGGACAGTGAAATAAGGCCTTTTCAAGATAGAAAAGAGAATGAAGTAGAAAAACTAGAGAGAAAGATAGAAAACCTTATAAGTCACACCTAGGTTACTTTAGGTATCACAACTAAAGAAAATAAAACCCTTAAGCATGACACAACCAAGATTGCATCACACAATCTTAAGAGAAAACTCTTGTTGTAATTTTCTGAATATTCTATTACTTTTTTCTATAATGAAAGAATTTACAAGCATATTTATTATCCTATGATTCCTAAATTAACAAGAGATAGAAGTCCTATCCTGAGTAAACTAGAACTTAGACTTATTAAAAATACATTATGATACCCAATAAGACTCTTAAATAAAAGATCTAATCTTATTAAAACAAGGAAACAATTAATAATCTAAGATACCACATGAATAATAATAATTACTATTGACAACATAAATTGCGAATTTATTTGATGATGCCATGTGTCATATTGTTTGAATGAGTGGCTAGATGAAGCCACGTCAAAGTTGATCTTGCTGTGATCTAGAGCATGATAGACCTTGTTGATGGTGCCATGTGTCCAACCAGATCTAATGTTTTTGTAGTTATCTTCTATTTATTTGGTGGCATTTAACGTTAGTGGAGATCAGAGTTAAATTTTAAGAGAAGTTGCTGGCCAAATTTAGCTAGTGGGTGAGGTGGTAAATAAATGGCAAGTTGTGGAAAGGGTTTTGACTAGGCTTACTGCTAAGTTGTCCAACTACTCCATAAAGATCTACCATGTTCTACACAAGTTGGAGTGGGTGGTTACCATGTTCCTTAAGACATAAAAAGGAAATTTCAAAAGAAACACACACAGTCAACCTTACACACAACTCCTCAAATTCAGCTTTGTAGTTTCATAACAACTGTTCACACAGCTCACAGATCCTAGTTTTAGCACAACTTTCGGTCAAATTTAGATTAGTTCTAGCTTCTACATTAATCTATTTGTTTATGTAATGATTTTGAGAAAAGTGTCATTTCTTCAAATGCCAACTTATATGGCTTTCATGCTTCTCTTTCATGTTCATGTTATCTTGTTCGCTTAAACATTATGATTACTTAGCTTTATTTTAGCTTTAGCCCATTTAATTTTTCAATTATGCAACAATTTAGTTTAATCTACTAGTAGTTTGATAGTCAACTTTGTTAGTAAATTTAGACGAACGCTTGTTCATTATGCTCATTTCATTTATTGTGGATCCATAAGCTTTAAGTTTATAGTGATGTTTTAAAGTTCTTGAAGCTATCTAAGGCAAATTAGCAACCCATTTTACAAAAAGACATCCCTTTCTCTTGCAAATCATTTGAAGGCACAAAACTCAATTTTAAACAAGCGTTCTTCTAACCATCTTAATGGAAACCAATCATGTGGAAAGAGAGGGTCTTTAGAAAAATCCTACTTTCTTAGTTCACAGCAAAGTTAAGTAGCATACTCTACATCTAGATCTGCCACGTGTGTAGTGCTGTTTTAAGATTTTTGAAGAAACAATTATATAAAAATCCAAAATAATCTAAATAACTATTCAATAGCTTCTTCTTATTTATTATGAGCAATGCTAGGGGCACTTGCCTCCTGCCCTCTCCGGCCAACACTTCCAATTTTATTGGGCCACGTTATTTAGATTTAAGAGGTTGCGTTTCAAAAACTCAAAAGCAAGCTTACGTTGCCCAATGAAAGTGGAAGTGTTGGCCGGAGAGTGCAGGAGGCTAGTGCCCCTAGCACTGCTTATTTCTTATCACACATGAAATAGAAGACTGGACTAGTGTGCTACGAGCTAGGGTGTCGGAGGGAGCTTCAATTGTTTCCAACTTGAGGTAAGCCCAACTCTTCAGCTATCTATGTAGTATGGACATGGTTCTAAATCCAGACATCAAACTGTGGTAACTTAGCCACAATTTTATCATTACCTCTCTTTAATTTTAGGGTAAAAGTTGACTTCAATGAACCCCGCGGATGGTTATCCTCACCTTGGTACCATCAATTTCCGAGGTTCATTGCAAGAAGATTGAATTATTGCACTACAAACTAAGGTATCCAAATTGGAAAGTGGATTAGAGTGGAATTATCAGTTTAGATTATATAAACGAACACTTATATGATGGAAAGAACTTGCTCAATATGATAACAGGGAGAATCACATTCACAGAAAAAACAAAACCACAATAGAGCCAAAAAAAAAAAACCCCCTTTGATTAAAAGGCTGTTTTGCCATTGTCAGCGTGGGATTGCGTCCTGCCTTAACTGAACAAGCTTGCATTAGTATCGCCAACCATTTTTGGCAAGGACCAATGCATTCAATCTGTTCTTGCTCTTGCTCCCAATGATCAAACTTATTCCAACTAGAGATGGACGTTCGAAAAATTAAAACATACGTTTTGGCTGTCACATCAAAAGCTGTACCCAGGTGAGTTCCATGACCAGAAGAAAGAAAAATCAATGATGTTAGTAAGAAGCTGAAGTTCAATGTTTTATGACTCCTGCACTCCTCCCTGTTTGATTGGTAGAATTTGTGGTTAATGTCATCTTGGGGTCAACCTGTCCCGAGCCACCTGATACTGATGCTGCAATTAAATAAATGCCATTGGTCAGAATAGTTTTGAGTAAATTCAAAGAACTTGTGAATTTTAGTAGCATCAGCAACCAAAAATAACCAATGAATGATCGACCAAACCATGCAGGCATACAACAGTGCCATTTGATATTCAAAGAACAGGCATTCTTCTTCCCTTTTTTTCCCCCTTTTTCTTTGGCCAGAAAAAAACATATGTTTAATGTTTGAAAAAGGAGTGGCCTTATGAAACAGGTGTCCAACTTTTAATGGCAGTTCAAAACATATTTTTAGGGATTAAAAGATAGTCCAAAACATTTGGCATACAACCATTTTTACGTCAATCTTTAACTGGATACAAGTTTAACTCCTTAGAATCTTAGATATGGAGAAGAGAAAGAAGTTAGGAGTTACTTAGACCATGTTTATCACCACCGATTTTAAAGGCTTCATAACAGCAATTTCAAGCATTAACAGAAAATAGTAGACCAATAAGGGTGGGTTTCTTCACTGGGATAATGAGGTAGGCACATTCCATATAATAAAAAAAGAATAAAATTAAGCACACCCTCCGGCTAAATAAGAAAATATCAGTGACAGACTGATCCACTTATGAGAAAAATAACAGTAAAAGTTTAAGTAGTTTGTAAACACATTTAAACAGCCATTCAAGCTTAAGAGAATTAATCAATAAGCCAAAATAATACCACATTGTAAGAGATTGGGTTTTCAAAGACATGTAAAGTGAAGGTGGTAAAGAAGAAGAAGACAATAAGTTCCAGAGGCACCTGATAAGCATATGATGAGCTTTCAGCAATAAACTTGACAAATTCTTCCTTCTTTCTTTGAAAATTCAACTTTGCCTTATCCAGCAATGCCTGTTCCCGCTTTATATCTTCTTGCAAATTTTCCTTTTTCATATTCATCTCTTTGACCTGCTTCTCAGCCTGAATATGGCTTTGAGGCACATTTGGTGTCAAGGATGGTTTTGGAAATCTCACATCTACCTCTTCCCTAGTATCAAACAAGATCCAGAAGAAGCAATCAATTTTGATTGTCATTCAACAAAATAAATTTGAACTGAAGTGAGCTAAATATTTTCAATTGTAAACTCTTGCAAATAAGTTTTTCAAATCTGTCAAAAGCCATCCATCATGGAAGCAAAATAGGTCACAATATTCACCAAGGGTTTTCTCTCTTTGACACTTGTGAACAGGTTCAAATTAACAATTTTCTATCCATGAATCATATTATGAAAAAACTATAATATGCTAAAATTCATTTTTGCTTGAAAATTTTTCAGGAATAAGAACAAAATAACAATAACTTTTAACATATGAAACCAAATATCTGATAAGGGAAGTGCATGAGAAGTATGATTCAGAAGATGAACAAACCATAACTTACACAAATAAGAAGAAATGAACATAATCACCACTACGAATACCACAGAATCATGATTGCAGAAGGAGACACTGATAAAACAAAACCATAAATGTCTTTAAAAGAGGTTTTCTCAGGCCAAAGTGTTTTCCTGTATTATAAGACTAAGGCAATTTTATAATGGAATCATGGATATACAAAAAAAAATTTCAATTGTTACAATATATAGGAGCTTAATTTTCATAAATTCCAGAATAAAATGTTTGGATAATAACCAACAATTATGTCTAAGGGGTTCCCATGTAAAAGACATTTAAATCACATGCAGACCTGTTGGTGTTTTGTCAAGTAAAATCCAAAGTATTGAAGATTAAAGACAATAGTATGAGAAGAACATTCTGTTATTTAATGTAGTGAAAATAAATTTGCCATCTCATTTGTTATGGATAAATGTCCTACCGACTGCCCAGTGAAAACACACCATTACTTCTAATGATCCCACCATCTAAAGAAACAGCTCCTTCACTTATACATGGGAGAGCAGAGATCATCTCAGCCCTTGTTCTATATACTTGAAGACGGGAGAAGAGACAATAGAAAAGAGTCTCCCTGAGGCCATACCCACCAACGGTGACATGAAATAAGTTAGAGCTGTCCACCTTTATCATATTCACTGCAAAGCCAAGAAAGCCGGGGGGGCACTCTCCATTTGGTAATCTTGGCTTTAAAAGATCAAGCCTCTTCTGTGGGTCATCTGCTGCAAAATCACCTGCAAAAGGTCTGAATAGGAGCAAAAACAACATTTAAAATGTATCCAGTCAGGAGCCAATAAATCTTAACTCAAGTCAATGGTAAGGACCCAACTAACTTATATATTTCTGAACATGCCCCTACATTTGAAAACCAGTAGGCTTTTGCCAGTGTAATAATCAAAGATGTATGGTGTACTTTATCTGAAAACTGAACTCTTAACTAAAACCAGGGCACCAACAAACTCTAAACCACACCACTAGGTCCACTGACTTTGTTACCATGTCAGGAATCATTCAACCAAAGAGCTTAACTCTGTTATTATGTCATGAATCATTTTAGCTAAAAGCTTAAGAAGACAGGTAAGGACCAGACTAACTTACAAGCATCTATAGTTCTATACATTCTCAAACAAACTACATATACAAAAAGTGTATGAGACTTGTACCTTAAATTTTCAAGGCAAATGACAAGAAATCGAGAATCCAAAGGCTTCCCCAGAGAAGCAGCAAGCCCATGAAGACCAGCAGATTTATCTACACAGCCATCCTTGCCACGTATTTCCAGAGCCTTAACACTTTCATATGTTTTACAAACAATGGCTAACATAGTCTCCAATCCTAGGTACTCTGCCAAAAGCCTACATTTGAATAAGAAGGAAAACTTGTCAGGCATAAATGTTTAACAGTTATGATACCCTCAATCAAAATAGCCAATTGATGAATGAAATTTATTAGAAACTTAAGCCATAAGCCATCCACATAGAAAGAGGTAAGCACCATGTCATTGCTTTACCTAAACAAAGTCATGGCCAACACTTGTCAAACACTCACCTATAGAATCTCTTCTCATAATTCCTGGATATTTGAAATTAACTAAAAGAATTTCTTACAATATTTTAAAACATCCATGCCAAATCCTATAATCCATTTACGTTGCTGGCCAAAATAAAAGTCCTCCAATTCAATTCCAAGAAAAATATTTCAACCCAGAACTCACACTTACCATTCAAAAACACACCTATCTAGTGAACCACCCCCAGAACAAGAGCTCCAGGCAAATAAGCTTATTCTTACTTATTTTGTTTTCATTTTATTTCTTTTCCCTGCCGTAATAACAAAAAATAGACATAGATACTGAAATAGGCATGATTGGAAAGATGAGGAACAAATTACCAGAAAAACTGAACTTACTTGCTAAGATTTTCATCATCTACTTTGCCAAGAGTAGCAACAACACCCAACACATCCTTGGTCAATTTCAGATAAGAAGCATGAGTACCCTGATGGGATTTCAGTTGACAAATAATTCGAGCTGCAGACTTTTCATGCTTAAGAATGTTCTCAATTATTTTCTGCTCACTCTCAAGGTGGGAATGGTCTTCATTTTCAGTCTTAGGCACAGTAGAAGAGTGATACTTGCCAAGAATAACTGAGAGAAAGCGAATTAATAAGCATAAAATATGCACTGTATATAGTTATAAAGGAAAAAATTACTAATTATCATTCCTTTTTCGATGTGGACAACATTTTATTGACCACCATTCATGACTTCTGTGTTCATTTTGTAACTTCTAAAAACATTTAATAAAGTCCTCAGTGATAAAAAAAAATGAAGGTGTTAGTGATGCTGGAACAGGAATTAGTGGTGTTTATTACTTCGTTTCATCCATGTTGATATCACGAGGGACTAAATACTTTGGCAATCTTCAGTTTCTTCATTAAGCTTCAAGATAGAGTTCACTCTATACATGCATGGAGCAATAGAGATGATATATACCTTGCATATCAAGTATAGACTCCTCAAGCTTGTTCTTTTGACTCGTTATAAGTTTTAGGTTGTCCTCATGTTGTTTGATTTTCAGCCCTAAAAGACGTAGATCATCTTGAAGTCTCTGCAGGTATAACATCATTTGAAAGTCAATACCTCTCAATCCATTCCTTTTCATTTTACATAAAAATCTTTCAAAATAGCATAAGCTCCAGAAACTCAAAAAGTGATTTAACATCCCCATTGCCACAGATAATATTGATAAAGAACCACATAAATATATAATGATTTTCTCTTTTCTATTCAAATATGCAGTAAAAAGAAAAATTCAAAAGCTATGTCAACACATCCTCACAACCTCAGAAATTTGGATTATTGATTTTGCTTGTGAAAGTCCTCCATTTTGAATTTCATCTTCAGCAACCAAAGAGTTTTCACTCTGATCCACCTGCATTGGTGCCAATGGATCATGGACAGACAATGCCATTGGTTGAATTGGAAACTGCCAAAACAGTAGAGAGACAATCAAGCATTTGCAAATACCTTGATAACATAAATGCCCGAGATGATAATTTGAGTTTCAGGGATCACCAAAAAGAGAGCTGAATCATAAACCTGATACAAAGTCACATGCAACTTCTTCTATACTTTTCGCTTTTCACTTTTCCCATAAAAAGAATTGGAACTTCCTCTCAATTTTAACAAAAGGCTTTAAATATAACAATAGGGAAGCTTTATATACAAAGCACACAAGAATCCCCATTTTCACATATTGAAGCAAAATCTGTACTATTTCACAAAGTTCTAAATCCTCAATTTTCCTTCACATTCCTTCCGTCTCCTTTACTAATTCTTATCCAAACATTCAATTAATTTAACTACTGCCCGTTCGTAATTGCTTCAAAAACACATCAGAATTCGTTCTTTAAAAAAATATAGTAATAATAAAAAATAATAAAATAAAATAAATTAATCCCAATTACTAGGGAGAAAAAAATAGTAAAACCCATCATGGAAGTGTAGGGAACAACTGAACAAGAAACGAAACACACACAGTATGAAAATATCCTAGAGTCTAAGTATGACACAAATTTGAAGCGTCCGCCATGAGAATTAAAGCGTAAAGTAACTCGGATTAAGCGATACAGAAGCATGCATGAGAAACCCTCCTAAGCCTCCGTTTGGTTGCCTAGAAAATGTCGGGGGGGAAAAAAAGGGAAGAAAACAACCTTGCAATTGGGTTGCAGTAAATATCGAATTCAGTACAATACAATTACGCATGAAATTCCAAAGAATTTCCGCCGTCTCTTCCGTTGACATCTCTTGGTAACAAAAGGGAGCGCCGGAAATTGAGAAGAATCGAGAGCGGTGTACCTGGTTGTTGGGGTTAAACATTGCTGCTTTGGGGCTTCAGTATTTTCTCCTCTCCTATGTTGATCCTGCCTTCTGAAAGTCAAATATCGTTGGAAAACATAAATCCCTTAATAAACCTTTTAAATGAAAAATGTTATAGGTTAGTATTTTTTTATGGTAAATGAAATGTTTTTATTTATTAAAATAATAATTAATATATTTTTCCTTTATTAATCATCCATATCATATTAATTATAAAATTATTTTT